GGTTACTCCGAGTAACTGCATAGTGACTAATATAGACAACAGATGCAAGGAAAATTAGCGATTAACGTTTCACGGATGTGTAATTTCTAACATTGGGTATTGAACGTCAAATCGAGAGGCAGTGAGCATTTTCATTTGAAAAATATTTAACTCAGTTTTCCCTTGCCTAGAGAACGTTTCAGTAATGCAGTCCAGGTAGATTTTAACGAAAATTAACGTTTCTGCAAAGAAATGACGAAATTTGGTATGTTAGATAATTCAAAATAAAGCAAACTCTGGTAAGTCTGAATGACAGACGAAACCGCCACCTTACATGTGGCATTTATTTAGGAGACACAGAATACATTCCAGTGTAAAAGATTGCGTGCTTTGCGCACCTGTGCGTGAATATCAAATTCCCGACAGCATAGAAGGGGAAAGAAGTAACGCTTTCTCAAGTCTTCGTAGGGACACTCGGAGAGTTCCCGACTATTATCCTCCAATCAGAACATAACATAAGCACTCGGAAGCAATCTGAGAGTTCTACGACATCATTACGTTATGTTGCTTAGATACGACTGACCAAACCCCTGGGTTCACTGAAGACTCCGAGAAAAGGTTACTTCTTCCCCCACGAATGCTTAATTTCTAATATTGGGTATTGAATGTGAAATTGAGAGGTCAGCATTTTCATTTGAATAATATTTAGCTCAGTTTTCTCTAATTGCCTAATGAACGGTTCAGTAATGTATTCCAGGAAGATTTAAAGAAGCTTTCCAAGAAAAATTTTTCGGACCAATAATGAGGAAAATGGTCAAAACTTACGTCACATATTCAAGGCAATCTTCAACCATAAAAGCAAATTTCATGTACTTTTGTCGTTCGGGTAAATATGCCATATTAGCAAATCATGGAAACAAGAATTAGAAGGAAATTGTATCTCTACTCTGGTATACTCTGGTATGCTTGTTCTCTCGACTGTTGCTTCCTTCAGTCCGTTCAGTCCAAGTAGAAAGTACACCAGAGTAGAGATACAATAGGTAACCAGTATATCGGAAAACGGAATTATTTTTCTTTGCTGTATTTTAATGTTACATCGTGTTCATGAGTTCTGTAAAGATCACTAAGTGTTTTTAGCTAATTTATTAATTATCGGTTATAAACCCCTAACGTATTCCAAGCTGGGACTTTAGACTTGACATCTGAAAAAAAAAACAAAAAAAAAAAAACGAAAAACAATATGACTAAGAGCAGTCTTGTAAAGGTAATTTATGAACTACTCCAAAGCAGTCACTGATCAGTATCTATGCCATGCGACGAACAAAAAAACTGAAGAGCGCACGCTTGTTACGACGAGCCTTACTACAACGAATAAACCTACGCTGACCATTCTAAACATACTGATGGGACATCTTACTTACTATCACGTTAAGTCTGCATCGAGCCATGTTACCCATACTGTTGGAGATAACCCTGGTTTCTTTAGCATTATGCGACAAGGAGTATTTCTACTTCCCCCTGGATGGGATGCTAGTCCATCGCAGGGTTACCCCCAGCATTAAGGTTGCTGGTACCCATTTATACGCTTGGGTAGAGAGAGGCACTGTGAGAGTAGTGTGCTACCCAAGAACACTACGCAAGACGCCAGCTAGGGCTCGAATCCGGACCGCTCGATCTGAAGTTTAGCTTGTTAACGATTTGGCGCCGGCGCCTCTCTATTTACAGAAAAGATGAGTTCTTTTCAGTTCACGTTTCATTTTTCACACTTCGCATTTGACGTTTCACGCTCCACACTTCATACTTCACACCTCGCTCTTTAACACAACTCACACTTGGCAATGTAAAGCGTCGTACCTCGTTTTCCATCAGCTTTCTTTTGGTTAAACAAAGTTGCGCTTCACTTCTATTACCAGCTTTTAGAGCCAGCTGGGCTTTAGCATGCTCGTGTGCGATTTTCGTTTGAAGTTGGCGAAGATAGTCTGGCGAAAAGGAATAATCAATAATATTATCTATAAGTTGTGACTTTTCATTAAGTATTATACCCGACTAATTTGTCTTTAATTAATCCTGAAATTTCAAAGACTGATGAAAATGTAATTCTTTGCAATCAAACGAAAGACAATATAACAAAAGAAAGACAACATACCCAGTAAATATACAATGGAGTGATTCTTGAGGCAAGGAGAAGAGATTTAAGACAAATAAAGTAAAAAACAAACAAACAAATATAATCAACAATTTGTTTTTTCATTTCATTCTGTCTCAAATCTTTTATTGAATCAGTTTGCCGCATTTCCTTATTATATCTCAAATTTTTTCTGATCCAGTCCTGGAAAGAATCCGCCACCAAGGTCTAGACCAAGGTCTACTCACTCATTAAGACGTTCCTGTCCCCACTAGACAGCGTTCTTTCCACTTCAGCTATCTTCTGCTGGCATAGTTTACAGCGTTGTATGACGGCAGGAGAAGGCATCTCTCTCTTGGATTTTTGGGCAGCAAGCTACAAAACGAACAAACAAAGAAACAAATAAACAAAAACGTAGTTAAGCACAAACGTGTTTGATGGAATTCAAATAAGATCAGCAATGGAAAGAGACACATGAGGTGCGGGGGTGGAGATAAGCGGAAGAAGTTTGAATTGGGGTTTACGAATCTGTCAGTCCGCGACANTACCAGCTTTTAGAGCCAGCTGGGCTTTAGCGTGCTCGTGTGCGATTTTTGTTTGAAGTTGGCGAAGATAGTCTGGCGAAAAGGAATAATCAATAATATTATCTACAAGTTGTGACTTTTCATTCAGCATTATACCCGATTATTTTGTTTTTAATTAATGAAACTTCAAAGACTGATGAAAATGTAATTCTTTGCAAACAAACGAAAGAAAATATAACAAAAGAAAAACAAGATACCCAGTAAATATACAATGGAGTGATTCTTGAGGCAAGGAGAACAGATTTAAGACAGAAATGAGGTAAAAAACAAACAAACAAATATAATCAACAATTTGTTTTTTCATTTCATTCTGGCTCAAATCTTTTATCGAATCAGTTTGCCGCATTTCCTTATTATATCTCCATTTTTTTCTGATTCAGTCCTGGAAAGAATCCGCCACAAAGGTCTAGACCAAGGTCTACTTACTCATTAAGACGTTCCTGTCCCCACTAGACAGAGTCCTTTCCACTTCAGCTATCTTCTGCTGGCATACTTTACAGCGTTGTATGACGGCAGGAGAAGGCATCTCTCTCTTGGATTTTTGGGTAGCAAGCTACAAAACGAACCAACAAAGAAACAAATAAACAAAAACGGAGTTAAGCACAAACGTGTCTGATGGAATTCAAATAAGATCAACAATGGAAAAGAGACATATGAGGTGCGGGGGGTGGAGATAAGCAGAAGACGTTTGAATTGAGGTTTACGAATCTGTCAGTCCGCGACACTTTGTGGTCAAATTCGCTGATCCGCAAAGCCTGCTAAATCCACCCTACACCCACACTTCGGGGCAGAAGTGTCAACCGAAGTTCCCTTATTTGTCTCTTGGTGCATGAAGTTGTGAAGATAGTAACTCGACGTGGACCTATCACATCATTATATTCAACATGTTCTTCATGTATACTGCATGAGTCATCCTCATCTCCAGTAAAAAGTACTTCTGTTGGAGTAACCGCCATCTTGGATTTGAGAGTACCCTGAAGATGAGGTGCCCAGCGAACCCGAATTAAATGGTACCCAGTTCTTCGACTGAGAAACGCGGATAAAATAAAATTGTGTTCACCTGCTTCTCGGCGATCTGTTTCTCCAGTTTTAGAACTTCCAAGCTAATAAACTCTGTCTCGGCACTACAACATAGCAACAAGAACAAGGAGTGACTATACGAAAACCGGATTTGGGAATAGCATAAGTTTAAGCTACAAGAATTTACTGGGCATAGGAGAATTTAGAGAATTTGATTTTATATTCGTTTGAAAGGTAAATACAGCGGGTTAGAATTATTTTATTCATGGAAGGTGTCAATGATTACGGATCGTTTGACACTGGACGAGTTCGATGCGAGTTGCGTAAAGCTTACAGCGCGACTGCTCCAACAGAGGCCACCCAAGCAGGTGACCGGTCGTTTCGCCTACATCGAAGTCGTTTCGCCTACACGACCGAAGTCGTTTCGCCTAAACGATCTGAGTCGATTCGCCTACATTGAAGTCGATTCGCTTACATTGAAGTCGATTCGCTTACACTGAATTCTTCGGTTTACAATTATTATAGTAATGTTTCTCAGAAGAGTATTCGACAACGACGGCGCGGCTCTGTCTCGACAAAATATTCGATTATTGGGATGATTTTTTCAATGAGAGAAACACTGCTTACTCTTCGCAAATTTACCAATGGCATTTAAGGCAGCGTCCACACTACGCTGGAGAAATTTGAAAACGCAGCTTTATTTCTCCGGTTAGGCCTACCGTCCACACTAATCCGGCACGAAAACGAAGCTTTTCGAAAACGCTCTTCAAACCGGAAGAATTTGAAAACGCTGGCTTTTTGTTTTCGTGTGGACGAAAAACATTTTGAAAATGGAGCTTTTCGAAAACGATGACGTCACGATAATCATATGATTTCCGTGACCGAGTTTTCCTCAAACACAAATCCAACATGGCCGGTGATTGCTGCGTATTTAAATTCCTGCGTGGACGCAAAAACATTTGATGCGTTTTCAGAGAGAAACCTATTGTTCATTTTACTTCTCAAAACGAGCTCCGCTTCAGAGAACAATTTTATAGCAGCAACATATGCTTTTGACCAGTCTCTCTGCATCAAAGCAAGAAAGAAACCTGGGAAGGAGATTGGCTTAAACCCTGAGTAAATCTATTATATACCCATTATTTTCTGACATAAATCACCGACATCTTACAAGCAGCGCTTTTCAATACTCCTTTTATTTGCTGGTTTTAAGTCTTTACAAAGCAGTATTTCAAAAAGTGAAAGTTCTCAAACTAGGCATGTTTATGTTCCACGTCCTATAAATATTCTTTGTTGCTCTATACCTAAATTCAATGTACGAACTACACGATCTGAATAAGTGGCTATTTGGTCTAATCGTTCTTAATCTTTTTTTCTTCATGTGGAATGAGGCGATTAATGCTTAAAGCATTTTCTATAAACGTATTATAAAACATCTGTTTCACTAATCTAGATCATAATCTTGTTCGTATACCGTTCCTGGCTTCGGATACATCACATCCCGTTTTAAAAATCCCTTTTTTTAACCCTTGCAAAATTTGTATAGGCTAGGACTCGTACTTGGAATTCTACGTTATGCAGCCTTTTCATTCACGTGGCCAGCAGCCATGCAAATGTTTGGGACATAAAAAAGTGTTTACATAAGAAAAGAGTTCAACTCCCACAGGATTGGTTTGTTACACAAACATGGCCGCCGTTTCATTGTTTTGGAACACCAATATGGCTGCCATGACGTCACGTGAAAACGCTCTATATTAAACACACTCACAAGAGCTGTATCTTTTATATAGTTGCACGGTTTTTTTCCCCATAGTTTAAAAATAATTTAAGACACTTGTATTTTTTTTAAATTAATAATATAAATTAAATCAATCTGATAATCTCGAGATAATCTCATACAAGGATTAATTATCTTTGTACCATCTTCTGCTTGGTGGGAACTAAACGACAAAAATTTGAAACATTCTGTTGTACAAAAATACCACTGCCGACATTTACACCAGTGACTGTACTAGTTAACAGTGACACTAAAATATCCACAACGAACACAATGAACGTTCCAATACGTTACAAAGTTACTAAATCACGAAAGTCACATATATCAGACTATATATCTTAACACTTTTTACAGGGAAAAGACAGCAGTTTACTATTTTTCTTTCGTGCAGAGTAAGCCTGCCTGTCTACCAGTCTACAAGGAAACTATGAAAACTAATTTTTGCTACTCAAGTTGAACTGCCATCCTGAAAAATCGTGCAAAACTTGGTCTGAAATATAGGATGAGGACCAACATATCGGTGCCTTTTATTTGTGCGAAAGAAAAAAATCGACCCCTGTTACAGGAATAAAGTAATCTTCAGATTAAAGTTTAGTTTAAAAAGAATGACTCGCCAAATCTTACTTGAGATCTTCAGAAATCTACAGTAATGATAAGATGCGTCCGTCATATCAGCACACCAACAGAGATTATAAAAGTACGCATAAAGAACAAATTGATTTTTCCATCGGAACTCTTAGCTTTAACTTCCTACAACTGTTTAGAGTTTAAATCCGACGCAAAATTCTATTTAACTTTTAAGAAATGCCTTAAGTGTTTCTTCATGAGGATTCAAAAGAGGAATGTGAAGACAAAACGAATTTATTAGTTTCGATAAAACACACCAGAAATTCAAGATGGCGGCTCATTTGACGATAGTTAAACGAGTAAGGCATTATTCGCACGCATGGCTGCAGACAGATTCAGTTATTGATACTAGAAGTATCTACTGTATTTACACTTGACTTATACAAGTACAGTACCAGCTGTACTTCTACAAAAAGTCGACTCTGTGTCATCAAAGCTTAGTTTTGCTTAAACGTTAAAAAAATATGGAAATAAATTAGTGGACTCTATTGGCGTTTGGAAGGATAGATAAGATATGTACAAGAGAGTAATAACTAAAGGTAGAGACGAGACTTATGGACTGACTAGTCAGAATATTGTCTTATTTCACTTTTCAGGGTGGTTTATCTTCTCTAATCCTTCATCTCAGACGAGGCCATGAACTTGTCACGTGACAGAGCAAACGGCTGATTTGGCGCTACGAATGAAATAGAATAAAAGAGAGAAATAAATGGCTTGAAAACACTGGAACAGTAAAACACTCACAAGACTTTAGACATCATCAAACTAAATCCACATTGGTAAAGTATGACAAAATTTGTACAGCATCTCATCAGTCGGCCCTAAAACGTTCGACACTTGTTTTCCAACGCATAACAAACAAATCTCAAAACTCAACAGTCATTGCCTATCTTAAGTTAAGATAAGTTGCATAACATCTAGTTTTCTATGCCTTTCAAGACGTTTTCAAGGCTATATATCTGAAGTTCATGGCCCCATTATGAGAAACTTTAAAGTCAGTCTAATATAAAAATGTGTGAGATTAAAATCTGTGAGCAGAGCCTGTAATTACTATCTGGTCTCACTTTTCAAAGGACAGAACGGTGCAAAACTTTTCAAAAAAAGAAAACAACTTTGGAATCTTGAAGCAAAGTTTCAGAAAAGAGAGGGTAATCTTACATCGAGAGACAATCTGAACTTATCTAGATAATCACAACATGATTCAGAAAGAAATAGTATTTATGTTTTATAGGCATCATGTTTGTGCTATTGCTCGACTGCAACAACCTGTTTTGAATGTTTTCCAACAATCGCAGTTTGTACAAACTATTTAAAATTGTGCTTTACGTCTCATGACAATTTCCTCTAGAGAGCCCAACTTCTAATCAGAAATCATAGGAAAGAAACATAGAGTCAATCAACACTTATAAAAGTTTTACACCGAAGACATTTCAGAAAATTGCGAAAGGTACAACTTGTAATACACTAGCAGCGGAAAAAGTCTTGCATGTATTACGCATCGTTTATGCGTGTACTGACCTAGTGGAACAGTCAGTTCAACTAAGCAATTTCCGTGAACAATTCAGTTAAAACTCTGAGTGTAAAACATAATTGAAGGTGTTTTAGAATTTCTGATCCGTGAAGATGTCCTAATCATGCACATAGCCAGCATATCGGCCATTTCATAGACAGTTCAGAGGATCACTCACACTATGGCCACTTCTAGATTTAGACTGAAGTCTGCTATGCAATTTGAGATTCACAAATAAAGCTTGCCTCATATTTTAAATAACAGTATTTTCTGGTGTCTACCTGAAATAAATAATAGCTAACAAAAAATAGCTGCCTGACTGGACCTAACTGGACGGTTCCTACTCGCTTCACTGTTTCTCTCCGAATAACTATCTAGCAGATAGGACATAGTTAAGGTCATTCCTCACATTTGCATTGCGCATCCTTAGGCCCGGTTCATACGTCGCATTTCTGCCGTGTCGAATTCAATTCAAGGAATTAAATTCGACAGAAATTCGACGTCTGAATCGGCTGCCGCATTTCTGCCGCACGTTCGACTGGTCTTGTCGCATTATCCGACAGAAATGCGACACC